TGATTAACAACTTGAAATTAAATACGAAATCAAATAGTGAAAAGACTAGGATCCTTGGTTGCAGACCAATCGAGTTATTCTGGGTTACTAGCCCGCAAGGTACTACCTAGTGCGCACGTGTATAAGTTATTCCGGGTAATTATGACCCACAAGGTACTACCTCCTGCGCATTTCATATGACTTAGGAAAGTCATGAATCCGTACTAGGGCCAAACCCTAGCCGTCACATGAACATGATTTTTACAAGCCTCCAAAAACAATAAGTTCAAAACTTATACAAAATCAATAAGTTAAACCAAACTTATACATTTCAAATAATGTCTAGGAATCAATTTACATGCACAAGTAAAGTTGAATCTACACAAACCATGTCCTAGAATTCAAGTCTAGATAGCATATGACGTGTCAAGTCTCCATTATGCAATTTATACACAAAGCAAGAATATTTTACAACAATTGAACAACATTACCATCCTAAGCCACAAGTACTAAATAAGCTAAAATTTAGTAACAAGCTCTCAAGATAAGCAATTGTAATATTCTAACAAGTTATATACCTACACAAGATATATTTATACGAGCTATTCAAGACAATGATATCACCTATCATGCTAAGTCAAATTACCATCTTTAGAGGCTACAAGTACTAATTCTACAACAAGTTAGTAGCATGCTCACAAGGTAATTAAACGGACTACATTTTAGGGAATTATCAACCTATTACATCCAATATCAATTTAAGTGACTAACACACTTAAAACAAAATTAATTAAGCTAATTAATCAATTTTTCTCTAGATTTTCAAACATATCCAAATATCCTCAATTTAACATATGTTAAAGAACTCACCAAGGCCTACTTTAATATCACATTACAAGTTAATTTCATGCTTGATACAACTATGTGAATTAATCTTTTACAAAAAATAAATATTAAATAAGTTTTGCAATTCTTATTCAAATGCCCCAAATTTAATATATGTTACTCAATATATCAAGGCTTAATTTCCTAGCATGCCACAATTTAATTCTAAACTATATACCATCATTAGAATTAAATCCTAAACGAAGAAAATAAATAAATTAAATTCTAAAAACTTGAACAAGGCATGCTCACAAGTTGTATATGCTTATAAAACAATCAATACAACAATAATATAAACCTAAGACATCCCCTACCTCAATTTGAGATGAAAATCTCAAAAGCCCACGAAATGAAACCGCTCCGAATCCGACGAAACTCCTAGGTTTTGTCGGGGACAACACGATCTACATGAACCCCCAAGAAGCCCGATCAAAATCACAACTTGACTTCAAACCCAAACTCAAGAAATGGTCAAAAATGAATTCTAACAAGGGGGAAAGGTAGAGCACGTCGAGGGGAACGATAAACGTTAAGGCCGAAGAGTTTCCACTAAGGAAATCAAGTGGAGGAGAAGAAATAATGAAGGCAAACCCTTAGGCTACCATGGCTGCCGGCCAAAAGGGTGAAGAAGATGATGGAAATCTGACTTTTTGACTTAAGACCCCCTATTTATAGAAAATCTCATAAAGTGCCTCGAAAGGGTCCCGCCGGGTCCGTAAAAGTGAATTTTGAGCAAACGCACTCAAACGGCAAAACTCTGTGAATGAAAAAGCTTCTAAATGATAAAATATGAATAACGGAAGAAACGGCATCAAAAACTGAGTCCCGAGCAGAGAGATATGCCCCAAACAAGTTCGGCGGCAACCGGGTCCAGAAACCCTGAAACTGAAGAAAAATGACTAGAAGGAAATTCTATGAGTACACGACTCGATGAAAAGTAAAAATGAATCCCGTACGAGAATCCAGACTCAAAACAAGACATTTAGCAATAACTTTCATTAATTGCACAATGACCCCTCCAAAAAGTGAAAACAGCACTAATGACCCAGCATGAAAATATCTTCCAAAAATATTTTCTTAAAAACCCCTAAAATAAAATATCTTCAAAAGATATTTACGAAAAACACCCCAAGAAAAGAAAAAAATTCTGAAAAACTGTGCATCTATGCCCCTATAAACACCGGGAGCAACCAGAGTACTTTCTTGCAAAAGTAAAGATACGTATTTCGTGGAAATCACTTAGAATGAAGATACGTGAAGTCAAAAACCAACTCTGAACACAAAGAGTGAGGTTATGCCAACAAAGTGACAAACGGGGAAAAGACAAAATAGGGAAAAGGACAAAACAGAAAAAAGGACGAAAAGTGAATAGTGTTGAAAAACAAAAATGTGGAAATGACTAGGTTCTCAAAGGAAGTTATCAATCCAAAGGAAAGAGTCTTAGAAACCATTTCCGAGCACTCAAGACGACACTAAACGGCGAGAAACCGAACTCAGAAAAGAAATTTCAACGAAAAAAATTCATCCGTAAAATTCTGAGGAAAAAGGAAGGGAAGAAAATGACCGGGTCATTACATTCTTCCATTTTCGGCCACTTCCCTTTAGTAAAATGTCGTAGTGCCTTAGTGTTTATTGTAGTCCTTGGTGAGATCTAAATTTTCCGCTTATTAGAATCTATTTTTGACCATTTTTTAGTTCGGGTTTTGAATTCGGGTTTGGATTTTGGTGGTACCTCCTTGGTGTTTAATGTTCACCTTGTTGTCCTCGACATAACCTAGGAGTATCGTCGGATTCGGAGCACTTTTCTTTCGGTGGGGATTTCAGATTTCATCTCAAATGGAGGTAGGGGATGTTATAGGTTTATATTTTTGTTATCTTGTATGCTATTGGTGCTTATACAAATTGTATGCATGCTTTTGTTCATAATCTAGAATTTAATTTAATTATTTTCTATGTATAAGATTTAATTCACATGGTTATATATGTGATGAAATTAAATTGTGGCATGCTATTAAATTAGGCCTTAATATGTTTATTAACATATATTAAATTGGCAGTATTTGAATAAGTATTGAGTCTTTTATTTAATAATTTTCTTTTATGAAAGTTGAATTCACATGGTTGTAATTAGCGTGAAATCAACTTATAATGTGATATTAAAATAGGCATTGGAATGTTCTTTAACCTATGTTAACCTGAGGACATTTGAAGTTGTTTTAAAATCTAGAGAAAATTAATTAATTATATTTTAAGTGTTTTAGTCACTTAATCGGAGTTTTAACTTGATATTGTTGATGACCATGCTATGTCCCTTAACGTATATGAAATTGAGGCTATTTGGAATTGATTTGAAATCTAGAGAATTTAATTATTTTTATTTAATTAAATTCTATCTAATTGTTCCATGTATTTAATTATGTTTTAGAAGTTATTTCTATGTATAAATCATGGATTTAAACTTGATTATGTTTTAAGCATTGAATAACATGATTGTTATGTTTATATTCATGAGAGCATGTTTCTAGTATTGAATATATTGTTGACTTGTGATTTCATAGTATTATGAATATGAAAAGCTTATTGTGCACTATTGGAAGTTACATTGGTAACTTGTTGCTATGTACTAGTAATATAAGATTCTTACGAATCATTGATATTATTAGTTTTGTAAATTTCTTGTTACAATGTCGTAGAATTAGTGTTTCAAGTTTTCCATGGAGGCATGATTTAAATTGTTAAATAGATGATATTGTAGTGTACACTGTATCACAGTAAAGACTTGACATTATATATGCCATTTTAGAATTAAAACCCTAAGACATGGATTGTGTGGTTTCAACCTACTTGTGCATGGAAGGTGATTTCGTACATTATTTAATTATGTATAAGTTGTCAACGTATTTATTGATTTTGGAGTCACTTGGGACATTGTTACTTTGACATGGCTAGAGTTTGGCTCTAGTACGGGAGGTATGAGGTCTCCCCATTTTATAGTTCGTACTAGGGCGGTATTCCCAGTGGGTTTTGTGACCGGAATAACCATTTAGGTCTTGGTTTTACTCCGAGATTTGATGTCCAAGTTTTCCACTATTTGATTTCGCATTTAATTTCAAGTTGACAATCAATGTTTAATTGTGACTTGTGATTTTGATTGTTGGCGATTTAATGTTGTTAAGTACATTTATGAATTATGATTTTTAATATATCATCACAGTTTTAATGTTGTTAAGTACATTTATGTATTATGATTTTTAATGAATCATCGCAGTTTTATTGTTGTATAGTACATTTATGCATTATGGTTTTTAATGAATCATCGCAGTTTTATTGTTGTATAGTACATTTATGCATTATGGTTTTTAATGAATCATTGTAATTTTGATGTTATTAAGTACATTTATATTTAAATGTTCAAATGTAGCTTAGGAATGATTCTATAGATCCATTTGGAACATTGACGTTAGGTGGCATCACTAGAAGAAAAATAGCTTTTAACAAGGGGTGAAAAATCATTCTACAATGGGCATGGCCCGTTGTGGTATCCCCAGCATGTTGTGGAAAGGAAACTTTCTACAATGGTTCAAAACCGTTGTAGAAGTTGATACTTTGACCACGGGCATTGCCTGTTATAGAAAGTGACCCGTTGTAGAAGGTGTCCTTTCCTACGACGGACGTTGCCCCTCTTAGAAAGTGACCCATTGTAAACATTGTCATTTTCCACAATGATTATTGCTGGTTATAGAAAGTCAATTTTTCTACAATGGGTAAGTAAACCGTTGTAGAAGGTGGAATTTTCTACGACAAACATAGCCTGTCTTATAAATGTAACCTTCCATATCAATTTTTGCCTGTTCTGCTAGGGACTTTGCCCATTGTGAAAAGTGATGTATATAATATATTTTTTTCACCCAAAACAAATATTATGCCTGTTTTTCATGAGATCTAACACAAAAACCTGGCCAATACCCATCACTCATCCAACAACTCATTCCACAAATATTACACAACCAAAACCCCGCCCAAAGCCATATATTTTCATACCAAACCTTGTGCAAATCAACAACTACATATATATTTGATGCATGCAAAAAAATATGTCTAAGCCTTACAAAAAATAAAAAAGGACAAATCCCACCAATCACAAACAAATAAATTTCAAAAAGTTTTGTATTCATTAAAGATTTTAATGTACAATTCCATCATTGTTGACATATATGAATACCCACAAAAAATCAAAATATTAAGGCAATTGCTCACTCTTCTAGGCAACCCAATTGGTCTTGTGTTTTTCTTGTCTTGATATCTTCATTGTAGTGCCCGTCATGATATTCTAATACCCTAAGATGATAATCTTGAACCTGAATAGAGAAAATAGAATTGGGTACAATTAATTAATTTGTTAGAGACAACTAAGGAATGGAAGTAAGTACGTAATGTGCACTTAATATCTAGCATGGTCAGACTATAGAAGAGCAGACAAAATCACATTATGTCAAAATATGAATTTTAATCTATTAATCCATTTTGCAGAACATTGCCACAAAATTATTTTTGACAACCAATGAGAAAGAAGTCTAAAAAGATAGATTGTTGAACAACTCTTTTGATCATCCACTCGGTCCAAAGCAGATTCCATGTTCACTAAACATATGCAAGTCTTTCCCAATCCGAAAGACCCAAAGAATTGTGAATGGACAGCCACTAATGCATTTGAGATTGCACTTAAAATCTCTCACAATGCAAACACCAAGTTTTTAACCTCTCAGGCATGGATCACAGCATGTAAAATCCATAAATCATCACAATCAAAACACAGTTGAGGGAAATAACAAATGAACAATTCAACAAAAAGGAGAATGCTAATATTCTTAGAAACAATGTGACACAGAAAGCGTATATGCTGTTTATGTGAATTATAAATATGTATGTCTAAGTAAAGTTACTCTTGGTTGACATCATAATGACTCGATGAGAACCCCAGGAGCAGCTCCTTAACAAATTCAAATGGTAGATCACAATCCCATAGCTGGAAGGTAAACAAAGAATACCCCAAAAAAAATAGATGAATAAAAAATTGAAAATTAACCAACTAAGAAACTTAAGCATGAAAATAACTGATACTAACTGAAGCATCAACAGCTTAGCCCCTCTACAAGAAAACACACACATATTGACCCAAACATTATAGATTACAGTCTCATATAAACTATCTGTCTACAAATTACCGATGTCCGTACATGTATATGCACGTACACATGTCTATAAGTATGTATTTATCTATAAGATTATCCTTGGAAACAGGGCATCTCCATTATTTCAAAAGTACAAATTAATCCTACAATCCATCAATCCAGATATTTGTATACTCATATTCCAGAATGTTATATAACCTAAGATCATACTCAATATTAGAATTTGATCGATTCAGTTGAAGTAGTGAAACAGTAACTATGTATTTTTTGCAAAGAAAGCAATTTCATATAGAAGCAATCAACAAATAAATATAATCCACAATCAAAATAGCTTGGTCCATGTCACTATGCAGACTAAGTATCCACATCTATAATAGCTTGGTGTAAATTGAATATATTCCAGGATCTCATTTATTTTATCGGATCTGTAAGTAGTAAAATTTATGTTATTGCCTTCTAAATGGTGCATGTGTTCAGCTTAGGCAGAATTTATTTTATTAGTTGCTCTATCTGCTTAAAATTTGTCTACCAATGTGTCAATTAGCTAATTCAATATGTCCAAACTCAAACAGAACCAACATGTTCTTGTAACTCTTTCAAATATCTAAAAAGAAAATTTCCAGATTGTTCAAGTATAATTATACAGTTTCTTTGAAGATGGTTGAAATGACAATAACGAGTTATATTAATAGGCATCACACGAACAACTCCTATCTATCATTTTTCTTCAACAATCAGCCAGACTATAATACAATAAGTAGAGCCAAAATATCCATATCAATTAGAATGTGATATTGGAATCAAAATCAAATGTGATATTCCATATCAAAACCAATTGTGATATTACATGCACTTCTGACTTTTATGAGATGCTACAGAAAAATTCTTTGAATGTTATACAATTGCGTGACCACAAATTAGCTTATTTACAATTTCATGATTAGAATCTTACGTGTAAAGTTTAAATTGTTTAGTTTTCATCTCTTATTAATAGTAGCCACATTTGTAAGCACTTGAGCCTCAAGAACAAGAGCAAAACCCCACACTGTCAATTCTTAAGAGCCTCTTCTGACGACCCTTGAATTTTAATGGCACAACTATGATTTACATAACATTTTAATGCAATCATCATCATTTAAATGGTGTCATTTAGACCAATAAGAACTTCCATTGAATTTCTTCAAACATAGTTATTTAAAAATCCTTACTTTAACATAATTCAATATCTTGAAATCATTTTTGAGATACTACCATTTCAGAATGACTCCATTATGATGAGGAATTTTTCACAAAAAAGCTATGTAAATAGCTAACTGGCCTATTCAAATTCAAGGAAAATCCAAAAATATTCTAAAACCATAGCCTTGAATGAAATCCCACCTCATTTTTGTATCATCCTAAATCATTGTCTATCCATGTGATTCGTGTTCATGAATGAAATTTCAAATAGTGACATGGACTTGAGCTGTTGGGGACACAACTCTCTCCAATTTTTTCCAGAGGTAGGGGGTGATCCAATTAAAAAGCTAATTCAGAAACTTAAAATTACCAAGAAGTCTATTAAAACTTGGAATAGAGAGAAGTTTGGATCTGTTAATGACGTAGTGGTTTCGTGCAGGAAGAATCTTGGGAATTGTCAACATATTTTAGAAGTTGATCCCATGAATGTGGAAGCTATAAAAAAAAAAAGTTACATACCTCAAGCATTATTTAAGCAAAAACTCAGAAATGCAACCTCATCTCAGGCCCTGCATGTAAACCAAATAGTGTATCCCAAAAGAAGAACATCCAGGTATCAAAAAGGATGATAATCTTGAACTTGTAAATAGAGAAAAAAATTGATACCTCAAGCATCATTTAAGCAAAAACTCAGAAATACAAGCTTATCCCACGTTCGGCCCTGCATGTAAACCAAATAGTGTTTTTCATATTGATATATCATTAAAAAAAATTTAAAACGTGCTCAAAAAAGTAATGAATTACTTCCACACTAGTGAATGAGCAGATAAACAAATATATATATGTGTGTGTGTGTGGAGAGAGAACAAAACAAAAAAAGGAAAGATAATCCTATTATTATACAAATCATTGGGAAAAAATCTAGATTTAAAAATATTAATTTAGACTTATGAATTTTGATGAACCTGCTAGACCATGCAATTGTTTCACCCGTCACATGTTCAAGAGTATTGTATGATTGAAGAATTCGGTACATCGGCACGTTGGGTTCAACGACTCCAATGATATATATTTTCCAACATTCAAAACCAAGAGGAACATCATCTATAAGATCATCAGGATCTGTTGAATCAACTTCACCCTTAGAGACAATTACTCATGTCCCATTATAATGCAATAACTCACACTTCTTATAGACAACATCTTCAGTAGGTGGGGCTTGAGGTGGAACATAGGACTGGTTGTTAGCATTTTGTACCTACCATAATATTGAATTGTTGATGAAAAAAAAAAAAAGAAACAAAATAATTAATAATGCTTAAAAAAGAGACTTATTGACTAAGAGTAGTGCATACACACATACATGCTATTGATTATGGAGTTCACTTATCATCAGTGCTTCTATTTGCTGTTGCATTTTTTATTGTATTTTTTGTTGTTGCTGTAACTGTTGTTTTAAGGCTCCAATCGTCCGATCATATTTTCGAGAAACATCATTCCAGGCATTTATTTTTGTCATTGTTACCCCAAACCCTAATGCTCTCACTTTTCCTCGATGTTCAGGACCCATTATATGTTAGATTGCATCATCATGAATTCCTGTACTCTGAGTGGTCCTGGTATATTCTTCCATTTGTTCCTGAAACAATAATATATGTAGAACACACTTTTTAGTTTAATAAGTATATAAATGACCAACTACTTAAGCTAAAAGTAAACATTTGTTACCGCTGCTTCCTTGGCTGTTTCATTTATATAACTTTTATCCTTTCTTTTATGTGCTTTAATCCACACGTCTACTCTTGTAATGGAATCGGGCGCGTCTGACTTTTCTTTCTACATAAGAGTATAACATAATTAAAAGCCTTTAAACATAAACATTTAAACATATTACTAAGATTGATTCTCATAAAATAAAATATAATAAGAACTATGAGAATCAAAATATTACCTCATAGCCATTTTAGTTCAAGTATACTACATTCTCAACATTATCATTTCAGAGGACACAGTGGGCTGTCAACGGCAATTATAGGTTCAGCACTTATGTTTGAGTGCTATAATCATGCTAAACTCTGATTGTCCATCATCTAAGCAGCATTGAATTGATGATTTGGAGTTAAACAAGTTGAATCATGGTCAAAAAAGTGACCATTACAGTTTCAGCTCTGGTAGACCTCACAAACTATGGTTTGTTTAAGTGTTTTCATGCTTGCTATGTGTGCTGTGAGTGTAATACCAGTGTAATTGCAGTGTTCTTTATTATGTATGTGAATAAAACTATTTTGAATACAAGAAAGTGCACAATGAATACAGACTGTTTGGGAGCTGATGTGTTTGACTATTGTGTTGATGGTCATTTGGATAGGTATCCAATTCTTACTATAGCAGAAGACACACACCTTTACTACATCATTTGTGTCAGCAGGCTATGTACCATAAGGAGACCAATCAAGTTGCTTGTCCTTTACATAATTTTTGTTTATAGATTGGGACAGTAAACACAGCCCAAACAAAGTGTGCAACAGCAATCACTAGATAAAGAGATGGGTGTCTCCATTAATAGCCTCAAGCAATCACTGGCATGTATATGTATAAAATTCATATAAATTATTCTATGAAAATTACTTACATTTCTAATAATGATTGACTCATACCAATAATCTCCGGACCATATAATAATTTCTCGCTATTACTACATTAATTATCATGAGACATGCATGCAGGTGATAAAATTGATTATTAAAGGATAAAAAGTTGAAATAGTTAACAATTATCACTTGAAAGTGATTTACTTTTTATTGATCCAGCTTTATTAAACACCTAATAGCAAGTCACAACTCAAAAGTTGAACTAAAAGGTTTGAAGTCAGATGGAAAAAAGAGTAATTAAAGCTACAAACAATTTAGTAATCACATCTTTACAGAACAAATTCAAAATAGTCACATTAAGACCAATTATTCCAATCCTAATTCAGGCCTGTAAACAATAATCCATTTCGAAGACCTGGTTTACAAATGCACAAGCAAGAATTAAGAACTCTGGCACAAGATCAAGATAGAGACTTCATAAAGCAAGAAATACACAATAGAAATGAAGAAGAGTAGTACAAAGGTCCATTTTGATTACATATTTGGACCGGATTACATATTTTTTTGGTACATTAGAAGACTAGGAATACACAATTTCATTGGGTTTAGTAGAAAACTAGATATGGGGACAAACCCCTCAATGGTATACAAAAAAATTCGTTAAACAATAATACGTCACATTTTGATCCAATTTATCATCAGTGATGTATTGAATTGTTTGTGGGGTGGGGGAGGAAAGTGGGGGACTGGGAGTGGAGAGACAGCAAGTCCTAACAAGTTGCAAGTATGCCCAGTGCATGAGGATCTTGTGCCTTAAATTCTCCTACTCTTTGAATGGTAAATCAGTAAACATGCCCAAAACCCATACCTTAGCTAATTCTTCAAGAAGTATTTCCCTCACAAAAGCACCCTACCAAATTTTCAATCAGATCTATAGTTAGTTTCATGATCTATAATAGTCCACAACTATGGAAAAAAAGAAGAAGAAAAAAGCATCAAGATTGTTGTACCTTCTCATTTAATGTAAAATAAACGATTTGCCTGACAACCACCCTGGTATTGTTGTCTTCTACTTGCTTCTTAACTAAAGCCCTCTCTGTTCTGGCACGAAGGGACTACCATAAGATTATTTCAGGTTTTGAGTAAAATTAGCTGGTGGGACTGGAAATCACAAACCAACATTGTTGGAAAAGAAACATAAAAAGGATCTCACTCGCTAGTATGTCAAAATAATTTTTCAAGAAAACAACTAAATTCTTATGAGCAATCTAGAACATTAAAAATAATTACAGTAATGGTTTGACATGAGATTTAAGAGAATGGTAGATGAAAGTACTTTAAAGAAACTAAATATATAAATAAATACAACAAATTGGTGATATGGAAAGAAGTAAACCATCTCCTTATAAGAAATACATCTCAAACCAATGATGGTGACTTATGTTTAGAAACCAAGACCAAACAAGCTGACCACCAAAGTCTTAGCTTGAGTAGAAGAGGTTAAGGGTTCAAGCCCCTATTGGAACGTACGTGTAACTTACATATTGAGAAAAAAAAAATGGAAAAAACAAAAAAACAAAGCAAAACCTGCTTAGTTAATTTCCAGTACTGTGATTTTTATTATCAAATCTTTCACTTTATTGGGTTACTGTTGCATCTTCCAATCTATCATCATATTCTACCAGTTCAACATATATTTACATAAAAAGTAGGGAAAATGGAATTTGAAATTCCAGAGTTATATGTTGTTACCGACATGAATAAATGGCAAAAGGTGCAGATCCCCTATAATGCACCAAAGGGCACAATGCTTTGAACTAACACCCATCAACCCTCCCCCTCCTAACGAGGACGTCTCAACTCAATAATTCTCAAGAAAATATCACTAGCAGCTATTTTTTATACAAATGTTTATAGTTGCTATTTTACCACTCAAAGATTTAATCATTTTCTCTTATCAAGCCTCTTGTAATCATTTGTAAAATTTTAAGCAATACTTCTTTCTAAGAGAATTTAAAGATGCTCATTTACTGCTCGTCAGCAGTACTATGATGTCGTTAAAAGCCTCTTTTTCTCCAGAGATAGAACAATAAAATCTCCAATTACCTAATCAAATCACTGGTCTCATTTAAGCATTCGAACATTCTCATTAGGCAAGAAAAAGCCAACAGTTGACTACTTGAATATTGGTGGCAAGAAAAGTGAAAAGTAAATCATATTAGAGCATTTAAGTTCTTTTGACTCTGTTTTATTTAATTTTTACACATTAGGGCAGCAATACTAACTTCATCATTTATTTAATGATGTCAATTGTTCAAATACCTTCATAGAAAGATGTCCTGAGATGGAAGTTAACGAAGTTCTCTCAATTACAATTTCAGCATACCAATTGTCAATTGGCCATGTCATGTTCAAACCTTCAAACAATTTCAGCATACCAATTATCATGAAAATCCACACAAGGCATAAACAAGTATTGACATTTTTTATAACAAAATTTCATTAGACAATTGTATAAAGGCCAAGAACAACTGTTCAAAAGGCCTACTATCTCTCAATCTATCCACAAAGTCCTCCAAAGATTTACAATACCACCTTTTAACCCAAAAAATACGAAATTCAAGATGGAATGTTTTAGCACCCAAATAAGAGTCTCCATCACCCTCAAAAGACGTCCTATTGACATTTTTTTAAAGGGGATTTAATTCATTATGTTGTGTAGGTTCACTAGATAGTAAGTTTACAACCTTATTAGCAATTTAACACCTCTAGTTATCTACCTCAATCACTTCAAGAGGTTAAGATTACTCTTAAATATTCATAACAGAAACCTGGAACCATTTCCCAGATTATCCTGCCTTCATCAATGGTGTGTGGGAAGATATACGCCAATTGTTGACAGTGTTGATAGCTTACCCAAAAAATAATAATAATAATAAATAATTAAATAAATAAATATATTACATGTCAACCATTCAAATATCAGATATCATTATCCAACAACTGAAATTCAATCACTGAATGAATCATTTTAATACTTATAACATGAATAATGAACATCAACAAAAAAAAAATGTTGGTTTTCCTCCCCACATTTTTATCATCAGTTCTTAAAATTCTTGTACTGTCTAACTCTAGGTTGCAATCTCATTACATATGTAATGGAGTTTACATTTAAAAGCAACATTCCAGGCTCTTCCTTCTATTTTAATATCTCTTCCTTAGGAAGTTCAACAAGTTTCTTCTGCATTTTGTTTATTTAGATACGAGTGTAACACAAAACCAAACCAAAAAAAAAAAAAAAAACAACTCAAATGAGGTTCAGAGAATATGTGCATTAGACTTTAGCATATTTAAAGAGTCTCATCTTTTTTCTTTTTAATAATCACTCTCAAATGCATACATCCAAATTTCAGGAATTGTTTTAATTACAAAGACAGAGACTCCACAAATTGCGAAGGGAACGCAGAAATGATCAAATAGTTAAGTTAAAAAATAGTACCTGTGTTAGAGAGGCTTAGACTAATTCACCATGTTGTGAAAGATAAAAAGAAAAAAAGAAAAAAATTGATGAGAGTTCAGAGAAGGAAGAGATGAGAGTTGAACCAAATATAAATATATAGATTCAGAGAAGAACCGAGAAGAACCGAGATGAACCAAGAACATAGATTACATACCTGGGTTATTTTCCTCTGAAGGTGAAACTCGCGAAATTTGGCCTTAGATAATTAGGGTTTCATATGGATTTTGGTTGATGGATCGATGTGTGCAAAGTGGATTTTGGTTGATGGATCGATGTGTGTGAAATTGGGAGAAATAGACGGTACCTTAAGCTTTTTGGCGCGCTGCTAGAGATTGCTGAAAAAAATGCCGCCATTTTTTCATCAGTCCACCAAAAATTTACTTTTCAGAAAAATAAACCCTATTCTACAAGAGGCCATACGTTCCTGTTATAGAAAGCCCTTTCTACAATGAGCTATCCGGACCTATTCTGGAAAACTACTCTTCTACAAGGGCTTACACGGGCGTGTCGTAGAAAGGACTTTCTACAATGGTTATGCATACCCTTCGTACAAAATGTGTTGTTAAAAGCCCATATTGTTGTAGTGCATGACCCACTTTAGTTGTTTCTGCATTTTAAATTTCAAGTTAATAACTTTAATAATATATATATTGTTGTATTGTATCACATGTTTCTATACTGTTTATTTGCATAAAAATATAATTTATGCTAGAAATGTTTTAAGGTAGCTTAGGATGCTCCCTGGGGTCTCACATTTGACATGGACGCTAAGTGGAATGAATCACAATGATTAAATTATGAAAACTTGTAAAATATTAGGTCTTGCATGCTCCTACCTTCAAGTTAATTTGGAATTTAAGAAATCTGTTGACAAACTTATTTTACACAAGTCCCTTGGGTACGACACCCTTACAAGTAAACCCTATCTATAAAGATTCGTGCACTTGCGAGTGGTATATATAAATCTCACAACAGGTGATCAAGTCCGAGCATAGATCCGAGGGATACCAAACAATTAAAGTATTTAAACAAGCATAAAATACTAAAGAAATAAGAATAAAAATAAAGGCTGAAAGAAATCTAAAATAAAAATCCTTAAAATTAAATAATTATAATCTAATACCTCCAATATTATTACAACTCGGGAATCCATCAAGTGGACCCCTAATAATATCCCAACTGGAAAATAACATAAATGAACTGAAATGAAATCCAAAACTAAAGCATAAATAAAAGTCATACATCGTCGGAAGAGTGAGTGATTGTCTCTGCTCATCACGATCAAGTTCTAAGCCTGGAACTATCGAACACCTGAGAAAAATAATAGTGGGTCAGGCCCACAAGTAAGTTTTACTCTACTACAATTCAAGCAAAGACCCGATACATATGTATATCCTAGACAACTCAACAATAGCTAAATAGTCCATATATGTATAAGTACACACTATAGGACGCTTACTAGTCCATAGGTCTTTCTCAATCTGAATAGAAGGTAACATACAATTCTCACATAACGTGGGTATGTATACCTAGACCTACCAGGGGACCAGGTGTCTATTATGCTCAGTTATCCATCCTAAGTGATATACGCACCCTAACCATGATCCTAAGACTCAAGCTCATATCATGGTACCATAATTATATATATATATATATATATATATATATATATATATATATATATATATATATATATAAATCCATCCAAAAACCAAGGTATATCATTCAATTGTTTATTGACATGACACAAATATAATGTGATACCCCTCGACTCTGAGACATGGGTTGATCAGGCCCAAGCCCAAACCCGAGGGGATACCAAACGATTAATATGTAATTGAACACGGAATACAAAAATGAATTAAAGAAATAATTAATAAAGCTGAAAGAATTCTAAATTAAAAAATCCTCAAAAATATATAATTAAAATCCAATAATCCAAAACCTCCATCAATAACCTCCAATAATTAACAACTCAGGAATCCATCTCTAGTGGACCCCTAAAAAAAATCCCAAATTGAACAATAAATTACTAGAATAAAATCCAAAGGTGATACTGAAATATAAGAAGCAGTCCTGCATAATCAGAAGAATAAGTGACTGTCTCCGCTCAGCTTGATCACGCTCTAAGACTGGAACCGCCTGATACCTAAAAAATAAGAATGGGTCAGGCCCACACGCAAGTTCTATACTACTATAATCCAAGTAGAGACCCGATACACGTACATCCTAAGCAATTTAGCAATAACTATATAGTCCGTGTATATATATATATCCACACTAAAGGACTTTCACTGGACTACAGGTCGGTCTCAACTTAACTAGTAGGCAACATGCAAAATACACTTGAAGTGGGCATAAGTACCTAGACCTAACAAGGTACACCTCCAACCATCATAGCCGGCTATGCATCCCAATGCATATACACTCCCTAACCGTCGATCCTGAGACTCACGCTTATATCGAGGTACCATAATTTTACATATTTAAAATCCATCCAGAAACCATATCAGTGTCGCTCAACTATTCGTTACCTTGACACAATAAATCAATAGGACTTAACTTAATAGTTAATCCACTCCTTAATCCTAAAGTAGGTAGAACTTAGCGTTTTTGAGCTAATCCTCCTAGTATGCCATCGTCCCATACAGGTGCATACAATCCATCCATCCAATAGTTGATAACACAGATGACAATATAAATATTAATATCAACCAATCCATAACCAGTATAACAAGAATATGTAAATAACATGCTTGTCCTCTACTACCAATATATGATTCTCCAACAATTTAAAATATAGAGAAATAGTGTAGCCATCCTTTAACCCACGATAAGCATAATAATAATAATATCATAATTAACATGCTTACTTGAAACTACACCACAATATTCTATAAGTTGATAATAAACAATAATTTGTAAACATCAACTAATATCCTATTAAGCATAACAGAAGTTTTATAAATTGACATGCTTATTTTATACCACTGCGACATGATTTAAACCATAAAATCCCTAAGTCAATTGCTAATTTAAAAATAAGCAACTTGCATCATCCGCATCAAAGCCAACATGCAAACTTTCTTAAGAGTTTCATACTGCTCCATATATTAACTTCCTATGGTATATTATGTATTTCCATGCCCTCTAAAGTTTTTAATGAGGTTCTAAACATCACTGAAAACCCCTAGTTTAGCCCTCAGTTGAACCTGGAAACTCAATAATCCAAGCACCATAGCCAAACAGTCGCAGAAAACCAAAAAAAAAATTAAAAATTGACGAAGGAAGGAGCCACCTCCAAACATCATGGAGCCGGCTCCCTCTTTGAGGGAGCCACCTCTAAGGCCCTTAGAGCCGGCTCCATACAAAGGGGAGCCTACTCTTTGCTTAGGGGAGCCTGCTCCCTTCAAAAGGGAGCTGGCTCTCCCCTTATTCCATTGTCTTTTTCAACTCCGGCGATATCCGGCTACCCTGTTCCTCCAATCCAAGTTTCCTATTGGATAATACTAAGCCCTAGTGTGTTCCAGAATTATTTTAATTCATCTTTCAATAGTCAACATCAATTAGAATAAGGATTATGCAAGACAGTTTAAAATCAAGTAAAATACCAATTCATGAAAACAAACTGTTTTTAGTTAAATAACATGCAAACCAGATTAATCTAACCTTTATTTCTTCTTGGAATTGTATTAGGCATGTAAAGAACACAAGTCAAAGGGATAGAGATAGTGATAAAACTTGCCTTTAGGTTTTAGTTTGAAACCTTGCACTATCGTTTCTGAATTTTCCAACGACTGCCAAGACTATCCTTTCTCTGTTTTCTCTCTGCCTCCACTGCTACGGGAATAGGGTTCTAAAACCCTAGGCAGACTTATGACATATATTTATAGACACTTAACAACCTAGGTCCAATTGTAATTAGAGACGAAAAACCGTACTAAACCCTAGTCTGCCAAAACGTGATATAAAAGAATAAAACCTTATGTCTACATTAATAATTAAAAACAACTAATTACCTACCACATAAGCGTATAATATAGAAAAAATAAATAATTAAAACAAAACCCAATTAAATACAAATCATGAAACAAATAATTCAATTAACAATTAACCAAATAATTCAAGTAAATAAAATAAAACAACAATTAAATAAATAGGCAAATAACAAATAAGCAATTAAAATGCAATAAAATAATAAGTAAAATGCCGAGACTATCCTTTTAAAATTAGGGCTATTACATATAAGTAGGACTTAACTATTATAGTTAATCCATTTCCTTATAATAAATAGGTAGGACTTAGCGTTTTGAGCTAATCCGTCCCTAATATGCCACATTCTCATACCGGTGCATATAATCCATAAATCCAATAATTGATAATATAGATAATAAACCTAAACTTCAATTAATCCATAATAAGCATAATAAAAATATGTAAATTAACATACTTATTTTATACCACTGATACATGATTAAAACTATATCATATATAAACAAATTGCTAACATAGAGGTAAGCAAATTGAATCATCCACATCCAATAACAATATGCAAATTTAGTTAAGAATATCAGATTGTTCAAGATACTAATTCCATATGATTTATTATGCATTATCATGCCCTCTGGAGTTTTAATATAACCTTAGACATCATCTAAAACCCCCATTGCAGCTCCTAATTAAACCTGGAACCTAAAAATCCAAGCACTGTGGCCCCAAAACTCGTCAAAAACACCACACGGAAGGGGAACCGCCTCCCCTACAAAGGGAGCCGCCTCCCTACTAAATAGAGTTGGCTCCCCACAAAGGGGAACCTCCTCTTTACCAAGTGGAGCCGGCTCCCCACAAAGGGGGAGTCACCTCATTTCAAAGGGGAGTCACCTTCCTTCAAAAGGGAGCTGGCTCTTCCCCTGTAATCATCGTCTGCTCCAACTCCGGCTACTTTCTAACTTTCCGATTACCCCTGTTACGGT